TAATGGTGTATAAGGATTTAAAAGACATAATAGTCTTATTGACATATTTAGTTTGAATTTAATTTATACTGGTCTGTCCACTCATGTCAGATTTGAGGGCGCAGACATCTTGACCCAAAAATAGCAGATTATACCAGGGCAACTATCCTTACTTTCCTATTAACTTAAACTGTATTACTTACATTGTCTTACTATGACTGATCTTAATTGAATCTGAATCATAAGACTATGGGTTGGCCTTGGCTGATTTTATTTGAAATTGATATGCTTGTTAGTATCAACCCTAAAAGTAGAGGCAACTACTCTGAGGATGACGAGATGTAAAGGATATCCATACTGCTATTAATTAGTAACAGCTCTCAAATCCTACAATGCTGTCAAAGTTAAGTTTTTATAAAAATAGGTGATACTATATTTAACTAAAATAAGCCAGTGTTGTGGTCAAATCTATTGAAAATAACAAGAGAAAACATAGTAACTACGGAAGATCATCTATATTGTGGTCTTATATGTCTTATCCATTGCATGTTTTTCTAGGAAATTGTTTTGCTGTCTTGCTATGACTTGGTATTCCATAAAATACAGAGAGGATAGATATATATGTAGAAATTCACACATGTTTTTTTTTCTTTTTAATTATTTACGGGAACAGATTATATAATGCAAGATGTAATGAACAGATACTCTGAGGAAGAGACGCTAAGAAACCCGAGGCTAATTCTGTAGCATTATGATAGAAATTCTAGCAATACTATTGTTCACTGATTAGAATGACATTGGACTGGTTTCTTGAGTCCAATTTCAGCATATGTAGAGATGGGGACAGCTATCACAAAGAGAATGAGAGATGCGATGGTAGTTACTATTGTCTTCCCTAATTTGGAACTTGAGGACCTAAAAAGCCTCCAATGATTTGATTAGTTCTATAATATGCAATAAGTATATAAAGTGGGTGAAGATAGGGACAACTATTTGTAAGAAACTAGAGACAGTTAGATAGACAATGAAGATCCCCATTGGGCTTGCTGCGAAATCTGTATTTCTTTAAATTGTTTTTTTAACTGCTTTGTTCTGTTTTTATATGTTTAATCTTACCCTCTTTGAGATGTAAAACAAATGTGTAGAACTGATAACCATATTACTGAGTTTTTGTTCGATCATAGAGCAGAACGGTTTGTAGTGTCACTTTATGAATGTCATTCTAAATATTTTAATTCTATAACATGAACAGCTATTTCTAAGATGACAATGTGTAACTTATCAACCAGCAATTTCTTACCGTTTGTTTTTCTGCAAGTTTATATTATTTTTACCCTTTTTTTTTATCTCCATGTATTCTTTTGTTTCCTTTTCTTTAAATTAAAAAAAAAAAAACGGTAAAAGAAAAAAAGAAATGTAATGCCTCTGGCACTATTAGTTTGTGCAGAGTTATTAAAACAATCTAATCTTCTCCAGATGTGTCCATCCATTGTCTTGAGAGAACAGCACTTTCTAGGGGAATTTATAAATAAATGCATTTCTTAGACTTGTAAGTAAGACAACATTTCAAATGTCTCTGTCCCCCATACCTTGTGAATGGGATGCTCCTAACAGTTACCACACTGTCCTCTTCCTTTCATAGTTATCAGGCATACTTGGAATGAAGAAGACAAATTGGGCTAAAAATCTGTCAGAACAAAGAATATCTCACAGGCATCTCTAAGGCTGATGTAAAAACAGAGCGTGTGCCAACTGGAATGAAAAGTATGCTAGAGGGATTCTTGTTCAGAATATGGGTCCAGTACTTCTGTATTTACTGAATTAAACACTTCGTGTCGTGCAGCTATTTATTTTCCAAGTGCAGTGCAAGGTTCTTTGGATCTGTAGGTGAAGATAGTCCCTGTGTTCAAGGATGTAAAAGTAAAAATATCTAATATTATTGTGTTTTTATTGTGCTAGAAATTCTTCCAAATCATACATATCTTCTTTTACCCACAAGAAATATGTTGCAGGATTTCCAATACATGCCTGATATTGTGTATACAACAAAATTCCATGGATACAGGGATTTTTTCTTATGCACATACACCTATGATAAACTGTAGCTCATAATTAGGTTCTTAAGAAAATAAGCTTAAAATAGTAAAGTGGAAAAACTATAACAGTTTAATACAAGTTGTATGAATGCTTTTCAAAGTGTCTTATTGTATTCTAATTACTTTCTTGTAATAAGATAACACAAGTTCTATGTAATGAAGTGAGGTAAGCGACATAGACATTGCATGTAGCACTAGGATATTATATAAAGATTCCTTGAATGCTAGCACAGAAGCTATGTCTGATACTTTGACCGCCAATCTGATGGCCAAGACAGCTACTAAGTGATTGATATCACACCCAGCATATCAGATGGTTACCTCATCACTATGACAATGGTGTGTAATGCAAAATTTATGAAAAGTGTATTTCTGGAAATATTCTTTTGATATTTCCAGACTTCAACTGGACAGCAGAAAGCAGAAACTGACCACCAAATGTAGAAACTATGGTAGGTGGACACAAATAAGGGGAGACCATGTTCTAGATACTATCAAAATAATTGATGCCCAGAACAGTGCCATGTGTTAGCTAACTAGTTAATTTTTGCATTTTACAAATGTAAACTCTTAAATTTTAGAAAGTTAAAAAAAAAAAAAACTTCCCAGATCATTCAGGTAACCAGAGGTGGAATTAACTCTAGACAGACCAATGTGAAGTCTCCACTGGTTTCTATTTTTCTAAGCTGTCACTTTTATAATGTTTTGAAGGAAACTCAAATGTAAGTGCACAATTGCAATATGGTGATACAATGCTTAAAGGTACCAAAAGCAACATTTGAAGTACTGACAGGGGAAACAGAGAATGGGTGAAGAATTCTCCTATGTGGTGTGGTTCTATCAAAGCCTTGAAAGCGGAGATTTCGTTCACCCAGTAAAACAGGAGAGCATCTGGGTCCTAAGCAAACAGGATAATACTTGATACTGAATGTTTTGCCTTATGTCTTCAAATAACTCTACCTGAGGATTCATCCACTGTAGAATTTAATATCATCCCTGTGGCTACTGATTCTGTGTTGAGCTGAGAGAAGTGTGACTCTTGCCTAACTCATATCACACAAGTTAGAGGCCACCTAGGACTCTAGAATGGGTCTGAAGAACTGCAATGATGGAGAATTACCTACTGATTTTCAGCACATCTTTTTGAAACTGGATCCTTAAAGACCAACTGAAAGACTCAGTCAGGTGGGCACAGTGATATGATCCACTTATAGAGCAACTTGGCGAAATGGCTGATGTGCACACAGAAATTTATTAGTGCATACAAAGCATGGGGAAAACTCTGAGCACTTGTTTACAGTTGTACGATAGTACCAGGACCAAAGAAACTAAATACCCTGCAATCCAGAAATGGGTGAATAAAATCGGGTGCACCTGTTTGGCGAAATGATGTGAAGTTTGAAACAAATCTATTTTCATCAACACTGATACAAAGCTACATTGTAATACTGAGCAAAAACATTTTTTCATACTAAGGCAATATACATATGAAAGAAAAGGTAATGTAAATTATTTTTTATGGGTAAATGCTATGTACACATACATATATATAATCATATCTACACTTTATAATGTCTTAAAATATAAGAAGGTGGTATACATTGATAGATTCCAATTTCAAAACAATTTTGCTTCTAGGGAAGGAGAGGTAAAAACTGGGAAGGGAATAAATACAACTTAAAATATTATCTATAGTTTTAATTTTTAAATTGATGTATGCATGTAGGTGTGTGTGTACATATGTGTATGTGTTTCAAGGTTTTACCATCTTGCCAAAGTTGGTCTTGAACTTTATATTCTCCGACCTTAGCTTTGCGAGTAGCTGAAATTAGAGGTGTGTGTCCCTGCACCCTGCAGCTAAGGTGGTTTCTTCCTTTGTAACCTGAGGTTGCTAAAGATGCCCACCTCATAGGGCTGCCTCAGCTCCAGGCCCTTTGGTGAGCACTGGGGTTTTAGGCTCCAGTGCCCACTGGGACCAGTGCCTGCTTCTTGGGCACACATGGACAGGAAGAAGGCAGCTGCTGAGATCCCATGGGGAGGGCTGCCTGGGGATCTAGGGGAGCATGGAGAATGGCCTGAAGTACAGCCTGAAGATCAGAGATACTGAACACATTCAAGGGCACCAAGACTGAAGAGCACTGAAGACTCTAAGAACAGGAAACCCACTGATTGAGAGACCCAGAGATTCAAAGAGACTCAGAAGCCAGGCTTGATAGTGCACGCGTAATCCCAGCACTTGGGAGGCTGAGTGGGAGACTGAAGCAAGAGGATCTTTGCAAGTTCAAAACCAGGCTGGGTTCCAAAGTAGCTCAAGGCCAGCCTTAACTGCATAGCTAGACCTTGTCTCAAAAAAACATAAAACAAAAACCAAAAACAGAGATACAAAACAAAACAAAAAGTCTCAGAGAGTATGTATTGGTTACTTTTCTTGTTACTGAGACAAAATACCTTACACCAAAAATTAGGGAAGGATACGTTCAGTCCAAATTCATCTGGCTGCATGACAGGGTGGCATGGCTGAGGGGTAGCTACTCATGCCTGCCACAAGTAACAAGAGCAAAAAGGCAAGAAAGGGGGAAAACACACCTCCTTCCCGCCCTCATCTTGTGTGCTGATAACCTCTTGCCCTCGGCGGGGGCAGCACTCACACCAGCAATCCCAGCGCTAGACAGTGAACCAATCACAAATGCTTGGGTTAGCTGCTTGCATGACTGCATGAGGCTTGGAGGCGACAGCCATATGGCTTAACCAAGCCATAACAGAGTAGGAAGGCCAGGAAGCTCTGAGAGATTCTGAAAAATGTAAAGATTTGGAGATCTCAAGATGCCCTGAGAGGCCAATAAATTCAGAGATATTCATAGAGATCCAGTCACTCCATCCTGGGAATAAACATTATATTCACCTGGGTTGAGTGCAGTGACACATACCTGTAATCATAGCAGTCTGGAAGCTGAGGCAGGAGGATCCCTTTGAGTTAAAGGCCTGTCTGGGCTATGCAGTGGGACCCTGTCTCAAAAAAACAAAACAAAAACCCCTGAAGATATAGTTCAGTAGTAAGGCCTTGGCTTCAATCTCCAGTTCCTCAATAGATAAATAAAATTGACTCACCAAGCCAGGAAGCCTAGACTTTATTTAGAGAGAGCTTCCTGGTACTGCAGTTGACATTTGATTATCCTGCAGAGTTTTAGTTTAGGTCCTGGGTTTCCAGAGCCTTTTCTTACAGGAGCACAAACTAGAGAAGATTTCACCCTGGGAGCTGGAACTCTGTGTGGGTGGTGACCAGGTTCCCAGGGTTATAGAATTTCACGTAACCATGATCAAGGGTTACCTGATCCTGGTAAGTCCAGGTATGTCTGTACATTACCTCGCACAGCTGTCTTTCTCTGTAGAATTTAGAAGTAAAGAAGCACAGCCCACTATGAGGATAAGCCGGAAACAATGGATAGGCCCTTTGATTTGCTGATGTCCCTTTTTATTTCTCTGTGAATTCACACTCAGTTTTTCTCTTTGTCATTAATTCTGCTGGACTAGCCTACTGTGTCCTTTTCTTTCTTTTCACTCAGTTTCCAAAGTGATTTTATGTAGCAAGCTAGGCAGATTGTTACTATTCTCTATATTTGATTTTTAATATGTTGATTAAATTTGGAGACTTTATAACGCACATATGCCAGATAGGAAAAACTGTGGATTAACTCTGGGACTGGTCAGCTTTCCAGCTGACTGTGGTGAGTTTGTCTTAGAGAAAGTCATTACTTTAAAGAGTAAACAATAGTAGTAGTTTTGTCACAACAGCCTTGCTATCAGTTGTCGTAGTAAACATGGCTATAAAGCAAAAGTTACTATGTCTGTATTTTAGAATTCCATGAAGCTCTTTTGTGACATATAAACACAATGCACTGGAAGGCAAGCAGTCTAAAACCATTGTTTCTATGCATCTTTTCCAGTTATCCTAATAAAGATCAATAATTTTTTTATCATGGTAGGAAGCAATGTATTTTGTGATTTGGAAACAACCAAAAGGGACTTTCAATCTGCTGGGTAAATGTATACTTCACTGATAATCTGTGTAGCTAGTAGGAGAGACACCCTGGGTTTGATCCCCAGCACCAGAAAAAGGGGACAAGAAGATTTCAAATGAAAGTTGTAACAGTTACTGAACAATGATCTTATATGGAGGCCAAACGGCACTTTTTTTTTTTTTTTTTTTGCCATTCAGACAGCTGGAAGCCTCACAATGAAGTTATTTTTTTATTCTGTTAAAATAAATATGTGGAACAATTCATGTTCTTTTTTTTCTACTTTATTTGTGCTTTGTATACAATGAAGTATTAAAAGATGATTTTTCTATTGGGTAAAATTTAGCATGTGCATTGATTTCTTTTGAAGTCACTGCAATTGCCTAAGCTATTTCAAGTTTTTATAGCACTATAATATCCATTTTAAATGACCAAAAGAGAATAAGGATCCTAGGCTAATATAATTATAAAGGTTTATATCAATAAAATAATAAAATTATCCTCTAGGAGAATGCTCTAAAATTGCCTCTACACAGATTACAGGCCACATGAATGCCACACAGTGATATTAATTTTCCCAGGACATTCAGCCTATTTGCCTAAAATTTTGACCATGTGACTAACTGCTCAGTAGTAGAAGTCTTTGCGCAGTATGCCCCAAATTAGCCATGTTAAGTGGCTCACTGCAAACTATTTTGTTAGCTTTTGCTTGTATACCCTGCAGTGATATCTGAGAAAGGCAGATAAATGAAAGCAATAGAGATTCATGGTTCAGATATTTTAATTGTTTGAATTACAAGTTATAACTTCCCCTACAAATTTACAGAGATGAACAATCCCAGTATTGTAGGAGAACTTCAAATAAATGTCAGAAGAATTTTTTTTATCATGGTAGGAAGCAATATATATTGTGATTTAGAAACAACCAAAAGAGGCTTTTAGTCTGTTGGGTAAATGTATACTTCACTGGCAATTTTTGTGCCTAGTAGGAGAGAGGACCTGGGTTTGATCTCCAGCGCCAGAAAAAGAGGAATTTCATTCATTTCAAATGAGTACATTTCTGTTGAATTTCCACCTTCTAACACTGATTGACTGCAAAATCTCCAGTCTCTTCATGACCTGAGAAAAGGCCATGGTAGTAGAGTCTGGCAGGATGGGCAGGTGGTCAGAAGCAGCTTTTGTAGGCTCCTCTAGATTCCCAGGTCATCTGGCAGAAGAGGATGCATGTGATACTGTGGCCAGATGATCTTTTAAGGGGCCGTGATCACCTTGAAGTATATTGTACTTTTCTTGCTTATACTAGGATAAAACAGATTTCTAGACATATTACAAGATATGTCTTTCTGTGTGTTTCTTAATACTGATCTCTCTTTATGGCCTCTAAGGTCCTAATGTCTAGCTACAGGAATAGGATACCTCAGAAATTCTGTCTCTTGTAGCAACTCAGCTAATAATGGCAAGGTGGTATATTTTCATTAATGACTGTCTCTTAGATTTGCTTCACTGAGACAGCAAATGTGTAACTGAAAGATTTTCATTAGTATTTTTTCTTGTTTCGTATTTCATTGACCAATGGAAGAATTCTATAATCTATTATATATATATTTTTTTCTTTTTAGAGATGAGGTCTTAGTACGTCATTCAGGCTGGCCTTAAACTCACTATGTAGCACTGGTTGGCCTCCAACTTGCTGTCATCCTCCTGTCTCAGCTTCCAAATTGATTGTAGGTGTACACCATCAAGCCTGGTGAGATCTGTGATCTATTCAGCCTGATAAATAACTCTTATTACCACTTTCATCTGAGAGTTCACCCAAATTTAAATTACTAAATCTTCAAGAGATATTCCTTGGTCTATCCTCTGCCACTTTTCAAAAACATATAAAAGGGTCTTCTATAAACTTTATAATTATTTTAAATGAACACAGGATTCTGTTCATTTGAACCTCATTCTTAAGTAAATTCATGTTTGGGAGATAGAAGAAAGCAACGTGTACCTCACATTTTAGTTTTTTCTCACTGAGGTTACCTTGTTTTGTCTACCTGGTCAGAGACTAATATATTTCCATTTCAAAGGGAGTCATTATAAATTTCTAGGACAATAGCTTGATTCATAATGAGGTTAAGATTCCAAAACAATATTGTCTTAAGGGAAATTTCTGTCTCCCATTTTAAAATGGATCATTATCCAACAAGAGAGAAAATACCTATCAAAGCTTTTCTGGCAGAACCTTTTCCTCGCTGTGACTTTATTGATCCTTTTAAGCTTCATGTCTTACTTGGATATATTTGTAGGTATTAATGAGGGAGAACATGCAGCCCAAGAGAGTTACACATTTGCAAGAAATCTTGAGTTAACTCACCAGAGAGAGAAGTGTTACATTTTCAAAATGGCTTTATATGAAATATTTTAGAAGTAGTATTAAAATATGCACACAAAAATGAATATATTTTAAAAGGCATAATACATGAAATAAGAGTATCTCTTCAGTACAAAAATATGTAAGATGAAATCTGAGAGTTTTGGCAGAGAATATATATATATATAGATAGATAGATAGATATAGATATAGATATAGATAGATAGATAGATATCTCACCTATAATCATTACCAGTCCTGGAGAAAGAGACCATTTAATAACTGATATGAGATTTCAAGTTAGGAATTAAATTTGTTGTGGTGGTGCAACCTGTAATGCCAGCACTCAGGAATCTGAGTAGGTGATTGCCAGGAATTTGAGGCCAGCCTCAATTACATAGTAAGTTTAAAGCCTTCTGAACTACACAGAAAGGCCTTGTCTCAAAAATTTAAAACAACAAAGCCAAAAAATTCAAATTAAGAAATAAAACAAATGCATTGTTTTTCTCTGCTCTGAACCTTTTCACTTGGAATTTCATTAGCAAGTGTGCACTTCCTCCATGTATGGATATGGCATAGGGAAAAGGAAAGACTGAATAGGTGATGTACCCACAACAACTGGAAACCAAGCACTCTTATTGGAAATTATCAATGAGAATTTCAAGCTCAACTCGCAGCCCTCAGCAACGATTACACAATGTGAGTGGGAAGTTAAGCACCTGGGTCTGACATCACCCATAGCAGCTACGAGGAAGCTGATAACCCAGTGGAGGGAAGGGCAGAGTAAGACTGAGCTATAAAGATGAACAGAAACTATGAGGTTATGACAGAAACACGACTGAGTTATGAAGGTGAACAAAAACTGCGTTTAAAAAAAATTTAAGCAGATTCATGTTGCAACCTGTAGAGAAACAAAGAGAAGTAGGAAATGCACAACTAATTAATAGAGAAAATGTAATAATGAAAATGTGCTCGATTTTGCTATATAAACAGTAAATTTAGTAAATAGCCAATCACTTAAAAATATAAGTAAAATAGCATCTTTCTTCCACTTATTATAAGTGTTCCATATGGATCATATACTTATATATCAAAATGACAGATGTAAAAGAAAAACTGGTGATGAAGTTTCTGAAAAATTTGAAATTTTTACTTAATATTTTAAGCTTCCTTGTACATATTTATTTTTTATTTTACAGAGAAAAAAACAACAGAATTTCAAAACAAGGTTATTCGAGAATAACAATAATTAACACATTGCATATTGCTATCTTCAAAATAGTTACTCAGAGTACAAGATATAGGGATGGAATATAGTCCAAATAATATTAGCACAAAGCTTCCTTTTCAATAGACTAAGTGAAACTAGCTGTGTAACAGTCTTACCTATCTTGGGCGTACACACATATATATTTTTTTTTCTTTTCCCTTCCTTTCTTTTCCCTTTCCTCTATTGCAGTTTCTCTTTTCTTTTGAACAGTTTCTTTCCAATATCTACAATGAAAAGAAAGTTAAATGTTAACATCTAATCTTACATGTAATACAAATAAAACAAGATGTGTTACATAAAAATCTAACAATGATGCATTTAGGACATTTACCAGAAGATAAATATGCATGGTTGATTTATTATTCTAACAATAAAATTTAAAGTGATTGCTATCAATTATTACATATCAATTAGAAAATATAGAGAATAATTAATATATGTAAAGTAGACTATTTTGCACAGTGTGAGGAACTCACTATAATTCTCTGGAAACCAACTTAATGTCACATATCTGAAACTAGCAGGGCTACTTTTTGATCTGGCCCGCAGATCAATCCACGGGTCTCACTGGAGAGAGGATCGGGGATGGGGGCAGGGCAAGAGAAAAGAGAGACCGAGACTTGGTGGGATTCCATTCAAGTCTCGTTTATTTTTAAAATGGCTACAACTTATATAGGGTGGAGGCGGGCCAAAGGCAGGAAGAAAGCTTAATCCGATAGGTCATCATCACGTCCGGTTATATGAAGTAAGCAGGAGAGGATTATGGGTAATGTAGACAGGCCGAAACAGGAAATTTGCTTGTCATGTGCATTGCAGGCAAGGGGAGGATCATGGGAAATGTAGGCTGACACACAAAATGCCCTCAGGTGGGAGGGGCAGGGCAGCAGCAGCTATTTGAAGCTGCTCCCTACATCTCCTCCCTTATTATTATTTATATTTTTTGGGAACATGGCATGCCCTGGGAGGACAGCGCCTGTCTTGGGTCAAGGACTCCTCATATGAACCCAATTGAGCCTTATCCATCATTGGCCTGCAGGACAGCTGTTGGTCCTGGACCTGTCTTAGGTGGCCGATTGGCATTACATATGTGTCCTAGTTGCCCGTCACTGGCTGCCTGTCCAGTGCCTCAAGGCATCTGGGCCACAGCATCATGTGGGCTGTTGGTGGGTGTTTTTTCCCAATAAGTTTGTTGTTCTGCCATTTCCAACTGATGGTAATATACCTGAATGGGCTTTGCCATAAATGTGTCAACCTTGTTATTAACGTTATTAATGAGTTTCATGATCTTTTGGAAAATACAAGGTCCTACGGTAAGCAGTAACAGCAAGGTGGCTAGGGGTCCCAAGAGGGGGGCTATGTAAGGGAAGAGACACCCCCATATGGAGGAGAGGGTGGCTGCTCCGATGCACTCCTTTTCTCTCTCTTTGAGGCACTCTCTCAGTTTACTCATGGACTCTTTGACTACTCCCGAGTGGTCAGCATAAAAACAACACTCTTCCTTGAGGGCTGCACATAAGCCACCCTCCTTCATAAATAGGAAGTCTAGTCCTCTTCTATTTTGCAGGACTACCTCAGATAGAGATGTCAGGGATGCCTGTAGAGCCGTCACAGATGCTTCTATTTCTTTTAAATCCTGATCCACTGCTGCCTGTAATTGAGCTAGATGTTTATTTCCCAACACTAGAGCTGTGGTCCCTGTCCCTATTCCCGTTGCTACTCCTAATCCTAGTAACACAGCTAAGGTGAGTGTCGTGGGTTCTCTCTTAAATATATAGCTGATCTGCGATGCCTGGAGGTAGTAGTCTCCTGGGTGGAAGGTTATGCGAGGAAGAACCTGTACAAGAACACAAAAATCTGCAGACTTGTTAAAAATAGCAGTTGCTATACAGGGTGAGAGGCCAAAATTGCAGGCCCAGGACGTTTCTGGGGGTGGAATGAGGTAATTATTTGGCTTGAATTTGGAATGAAGCTGAGCACAGAGTTGTGCTGCCAGTGCCAGTGGACGGCTGGAGTCCCCAAGACAAGTCCCTCTACCTGAGACATCAGGGAGAGTCAGCTTGTGGTGATTGTCCCAGTCACAGGCAGATGAGCTAGAAGAACTGATGAAGGTTAAATTGAGGGCCTTTCCTTCATAATATGGGGGAGGAGCAGCCAAGCATAACCAACATGATTGGGTGAGATTAGGTTGGGTATGATTTAAAGCCATGTATGCTCCTTTAATCAAACTGAATAGGTTAGAATGTGAATATTGAGGGGCAGGTACATGATCTGTCTGGTGTAGCGGAGCTTGAGAAACTGTTATGGTTGAGGGACTTACTGTGGTTATTTGAACAGCAGTAACAGGATCTGTATTGGGCTGATTGTATTTTGGATTTGGATATAAGGGAATAGAAAAAAAGCACTCTTTAAGATCAATGACAATTTTTAAAAATCCCAGAGGAATGGCACTGGGTGAAGGGAGGCCTGGCTGCAGGTGTCCCATTAAGACCATGGTCTTATTTATTGCCCTAAGGTCTTGTAGCAGCCTCCATTTCCCTGACTTCTTTCGAATAACAAAGATAGGTGTGTTCCAAGGGGAATCACTGGGGACAATGTGGCCTGCATCTAACTGGTCCTGCACCAGCTGCTGTGTGGCTGCAAGCTTTTCAGAGGTAAGGGGCCACTGATTGACCCAAACAGGTTTGTCTGACAACCAAGTAATCTCTTTTGCATGGGCCGCAGGAATGTCAATGACCCCTATTGAAAATGGCCTAGGCATGCTTTAGAGGGGTTTGGAGTTGGGGAAATAGGGACTTTAATGCCTGAGCCCCGTTTGCCTAAACCTTGATTAGGAAGGAAGCCCTGAGTGAGCATTTGTTTGGTGACTACAGCATTGGGACTGCCCATCATCATTCCCATTTGAGTTAGCAAATCTCTGCCCCACAAGTTAAGGGGCAGCCCTTCTACAATATAGGGCTGTATGTGTCCCTGATTGTTCTCACTATCTTTCCAGGTAATAGACTGGCGCTGTGTTGTGGATTTTTAGATTGTCCAATCCCTTGTAAATGCATCATAGTGGTTCCTAAGGGCCATGTGGGAGGCCAGTCCTCCTTTCTAATGACTGTTACATCAGCACCTGTATCTATGAGCCCTGAGAAACTTTTCCCATTAAGCAATAAAGCCATAAGGGGTTTATCTTTGGAAATGAATTGAGCCCAATATATAATCTGAGAATCCAAGGGAAGAATTTCCCCTGTAGGAAGCCACAGCTGCATTAGAAGTTTGAACTAAAGGCAGCAGCACCAACTGAGCAATACGTTGTCCTTGGCTAATGGAAACTAGGCCAGAGATAGAGGATGCAATGACAACAATTTCGCCAGTATAGTCTTTATCTATGACTCCTGGAACAACTTGTAACCCTTTCAATATTGTGCTGCCACGTCCAAGAACTAACCCACAAGTGTCCTTGGGAAGAGGGCCATAAATCCCAGTAGGGATGGCTTGTACTCCCATGTCGGGAGCTAATACTGCATTGGAGGTGGAACAGAGGTCCAGTCCTGCACTTCCTGGTGTGGCGTGGGGGAGGTTTGAAATGGATTGTTTTGTGTCTGGTCGTGTTGTGTCTGGTTGTTTTGTTGTGGGACAAACCTTATCACCCTGGAGGTCTGTCTGAGGGTGGGGGTCTGGGGCTGACCCCGAATCCTGTTTCCCTGCTGGAGGAGGGGATTGCCATCTGCATCTGTCTTTGACCTGCATTCATTAGCCCAATGATATCCCCTTCTGCATTTTGGGCATAGACTTGTGGGTTTTGGCCTTGAATTATTGTACTGAGACTTTTGGGCTACAGGGCAGTCTCTGGCAAAATGGCCTGTCTGATCACCTTTAAAGCATTTGCCATTATTTGTTTTCCCTCCTTGCTTGTGTGTGAGGAAGATTTCTTTTACAGCTGTAGCCATAGCTAAACCTTGATGATAGGCGGGGTCTATGTCAGTACACAAGCGAATATAGCCCGAAAGGTCCTCTTTTTTTCTATAGGGTTTGATAGCAGCCTGGCAGGCAGGAAGAGCATTTTCATAAGCCAGTTGCCTAACAAGGCCAGTGTTATCTTTGGTGGTGCCGAAGAGACACTCAGTTGCCTGTAAGAGGCGATCAACAAAATCAGAGAAGTGTTCCTCAGGTTTTTGTTTTATTTTTGTCAGGGAAGAAGCAGCTCCACCAGAGGGGAGCCTTTGCCCTGCTCTGCTTGCTGCCAGGGTGATCTGAGCAATAAGACCTGCCTCATATCGTATTTGGGCTTGTTGTGTAGCATATCGGCCTGTTCCCATCAGCATGGGAAGGATGTAATGATTTTTCCTGTTAGTATTGTCTTTAGCTAAAAGTTCACATTGGTCTTGGAATTCTACCTTCCAGAGCAGATAGTTGCCTCCTGAAAGTGTAGCTCTGGCTAAATCTCTCCAATCATTAGGCGTAACCCAGCCTTGGGTTAAGGAATCTAAGACTGCAAGGGTGAAGGCCGCCGTGGGACCATATTGAGATACTGCTTTTTTAAATTCTTTTAGGGCAGATACTGGGAATGGTGCATGGGCCCTATTGTCTCTCAGTGCTAGGGCCGGTTGGTCTGTGTCTGTATCACTGCTATGCGAGTCAGAGTCATTTTCTTCCTCACTATTATCATTTTCTATATCTTGTCTCTGTAGACATGGTGGCTGTCTATTTTTATTTCCTCTTGTTGTGGTAGTGGCCTGTATTTTATCTCTTTCATGTTCCTGACTTGAGAATTGAGTCCCGTGTCTAGTTTGCCTCCTTTGTCTCCCCCTTTCCCTAATTGATTTAATGTCGCCCTCTTGTGGACTGGCACCACCTTGGGTGGGTCGAGTTGTCTCCCCACCATTGTGTAAGTTATTGCCACTCGCACCAGGTTGGGCAACTTCTGTTACAGGAAACAATAAGGGATGTGTTACTCTCAAGGCCTCTGTTTTGTGAGGGCAGGCAGTCTCTGTTACCGGGAACATCATTGTGGGCAGACCACCTGGCAACCCTGAGATAGGCGCTATCTTAGGGAGTGGCAGGCCGGTGACAGCCGTCATTCTAGGGGGGTTTGCATGTAATGTTTGGAGCTCTAAGGAAAGCCTTTGTATATCCTTAGTCAGTTGAACCTGCTGTTGTAAATCATGAAATTGTTCCTCTAATGAGAGAAGGGCAGAAGACGGACCGGGCAGTCGCTGAAGACTGGGGAGTAGTTCTGCAGCAGCAGGAGCCATAACCCAGGGGGAATGGTATTGGGCTGCCTCTTGTGCTAATTGTGACCAATCAACTTCCTGGCCATTGGAAAGGTCAGGGTAAATAGGGCAGTATGGAGGAGGGGCCATGGCAGCGCCATTTTGAGGTCTCCAGACAAAGGGAGTGTCGGCACATCACCATCTTGAACAGGCTCCAGGATCTCAAGGACAACAGACCTGGGAGGGCTGGGTGCCTTAGATAAGACCGGTGGTGGTGGAGTACAATTGCAGGAGGCAGCTAACTCAGCCTCAACCTGGGCAAGCGTCTCCGCGACCTGGGGATCTGCATGATGTTGTGCCAGCAGCTCAGAGATTAAAGTCCAATATGAAAAAGCAGTTACAGGAACCTTTTCTGGGCCAAAAACTTCATAATAGTCTTTAAGAGTATCTCCTACTCTATTCCACCTGTTTAAATTAATGGTACCCTCTAGGGGGAACCATGGACACAGTGAATGTATAAACCGAAAGTACTTTATTAGTTCCTTTGTCTTAACCTTAATCCCTCTAGTCTTGAGTGCCTCCCTGAGGCCAGTCATGAACAATTCGTGCTCACTGAGTGCTTGTCCCATGCTAATGCCTTTCACCTACCGTGATTCAGGCAAGACGTAAGGTGGCCGTCTGCACAGATCACAGGAACGATGTCCTTGAATCAGTCACACTGGCCAGCGCTTTACTCCTGTGAACGGTCCCCCGTCATTATCCCTCATGCCAGGTGGTGTCCCTTCGTGGTTGCCACTTGATCCGACCCGTGGATCAATCCACGGGTCTGACTTGGAGAGGGGATCGGGATGGGGGCAGGGCAAGAGAAAAGAGAGACCAAGACTTGGTGGGATTCCATTCAAGTCTCATTTATTTTTAAAATGGCTACAACTTATATAGGGTGGAGGTGGGCCAAAGGCAGGAAGAAGGCTTAATCTGATAGGTCATCGTCACATCCGGTTATATGAAGTAAGCAGGAGAGGATTATGGGTAATGTAAGCAGGCTAAAACAGGAAGTTCGCTTGTCATGTGCATTGCAGGCAAGGGGAGGATCATGGGAAATGTAGGCTGACACACAAAATGCCCTCAGGCAGGAGGGGCAGGGCAGCAGCAGCTATTTAAAGCCGCTCCCTACAACTTTTCAGTTGTAAAAGAAAATAAAATGCTAAGGTGTGTATCTACAATCTATACTTACAACACTAGGAAGTTGCTTATAATAATGAAAAGTATTATTTTCATAATAGTGATACATTGTGTTCATAATAAATATTATGTTATTATGTATACTAACTCTGACATCGAATATTACATAAAACATATAAAGATGCTTTTATAACTATATCAATACAGAAAGAGAAATTGTACTTAACAATTTTTAGAGCCTAAATCTGTTTTATAACAAAAATATTTATATATCTAGTTGTATATATTAAAATTTGTATGTATTAAACATGTACAAGTACACATTAAAACATGTACATATTAAAATATCCAGGAAGTTATGTATCACATGGTAACAATGGAAGTATACACCACTGACATTTTTGATGCTTTTCAATTTGCTTTTGTAGTTTATTTTTCTCAAAACATTTGTATTACTTACATGAGATCTAATGAAAGCTTTACCTATCACCAGAATCAGGATGGTCTACAAGGGCTCTCTCTGCTAGAGAAGCAGAAGATGAGGAGCAACTCAGACCAATGAGCTGAAGCTTCAGAACAAAAGGGATAGAAAGACGCACAGATCCAGTTCACCTCTCGAGGGTTTGTCTTGCTCTGGAGATTTAGCCCTTCCAGGGCTCCACAGCACTTAGCCCACATTTTCACTGTTCCATTCAGCATTCCAAATGAATGTGGGAAGGAGCTCTGCTCTGCCTCTAGCTATGCATTCTTCCTTGAAGCAAATACCAGAAAGTTTTATTGAAAAAGATTATTTTTTAAGAAAATTAAGTAATGCTAGAAATGAGAACTTTTTAATAATGTCATACTTCTATTTAAATACATATGAATGTGTCATCATATGCTGGTTAGGGTCTTCAGTAGGAATATGAAAGGAGATTTGTTCAATAGACTTACAGGATAAGAGGCATGAGGGTCCACAGTGGCTGTGTGCTTCAAGATGCTGCAACTGTTCCGCCCAAGCACCTGGAAGCAGCAGAACAAAAAGGCCCAAGGATGCAGTGCCAACCTGAGACCAAAGCCTGGCAGCTCCCTGCAGAGACCCTGGAGTGAATCCTCCCTGATGGGCTAAAGAAGCTGGAGTTTCATGTCCACAGGTGGTGGTAAGGGCAAAAGATGCACCCCCAAAGGCAAAATGGAGTTTTCCATACCCTGGATGACTTCTTCCTTCTTCCTGTCCTTCTTCCTCTTTCATTCCATCCTGCCTGCAAGCCTATTCATGTTACCTCCTACAATCAGTGTGGGTTTTCCCCGTAGCTTTCTGGAAACACCCCCAGAGGGCTATCCAGAAGTGAGTTTGATTATACTACTAAATTTTTCTTAATCCAGTCAAGCTGACAATCAAGACTGACCATTACACTCAATCCTTTGTCAACTTGACACTCAAGAGCATTTCCTTTAGCTGTGTAATACATTTCCAAAGAAAGACAAAAACAAATACACCCAAAACATACAAAAATTCCCTCCCCAGAAAGGTGACAAAGGACTCTTGTCCACTGCATGGGTGATACTTTTGACATCCCATAATTTAATTATTATTCATTATATTAGCCAATGCCAGGAACCACTTAAATAGTTAAATAATTAAGGACATTTATGCTTGTTATGTTTCTTTGTGCCAGGAATCAAGCTCATGACTTCATGCTTGCCAGGAAGATGCTATGCCGCTCAGCTGCATCCCTGACCCCAGGACATTTATTCAGGTTTACTTTCCCTAGAACCATTCTCAGTACCAAAATCTTTATAAGCTAGAATTCTTCAGAGGGACAAAATCATTTGAAAATATATGTATACAATAGAGTATTTATCAACTAGGCTTACACAATCAGAGTCAGGATGGTCCACAGGGCTCTCTGTACTAGAGAAGCAGAAGACAAGGAGCAGCTCAGACCAATGAGCTGGAAGTTTCAGAACAAGAGGGATCAAGGATGCAAGACCAATCCAAGGCTGAAGTCATGAAACTCCCAAGGTAGTGAGTGTTGTGAGTCTGCATTGAAAGCCTCAAGAAGCTGGAGTTCCTTGTCCATACGTGATGGCAGCAGCAAAAGACATCCTCACACAAAGGCAAAAGACAACCAAAATTAACCTGCACACATGCCCAGAATTTCTCTTGCTTCTGTTTCTAATCAGTCTTCAATAGGAAATCTGTGAAACCTAGAGATGGGGCCATGGTCCCTTTGTGAAATTGTATGATTTTTATGATGAGTATTGCAGAGATTCTCTTTGGTTATGTCATTTGGTTACCATTAACTGGTAACATATTTACTCAAAACAAATTACTATCATTTATTGTGTACTTAAGGAGTACACGTTTGCTATATTAATCAGCTCTAGTTCTATCAACAACCACATTCAAAACAAAGAAATGAAAATGCTGATGTTTTTACAAGCATTTGTTTATGTTTCAAAAGTAGTAAACCAACTTCCCCAGGATTGAAATCCATGGATTTCAATATTCCTTATACAGTTGGAATATTTTCACAGTCTCTGTCAGCAAACAGTTAAGTTATGTCTACATTTTCTCCCCTTTTCAGTTTTGTGGCCACCATGGTGTGAGAAGCTCTTTATTAACACGTGCAATAAAATTTCCTTGTAACTGACCATGGCAAGAATGATAGCAAGAGGACACATTAGGAACAGAATGAAGTGAATAAGCCAGGACTTTATTACAGCTGGAGAGATTACCAAAGATGATAAAGGCTGGTGGGTTTGATGGCAGTGGTCGAGACTCGGGCCTGGTCATTGTGTTCTTTCTGAGGTAAGAAAGTAAACACTGCACACAGTTTGGAAGCAACAGCTACAATTTCTTATGGGTAACAGAGAACAACGGCGGACTGCGTGATGCCAACTTCTGGTTACCCGGGGCGCAGTGTCTGCCAGGGCACACTGCTGCCAGTAAGCAGCAATATCTGGTGATCAAGCAAATAAAAACAAAACTGAGAATTGGTGTCTGAGTCTGCATGGACTTTCCTACCAGCATGAAAACCTGGGCTCTAAAGTTTAAATTGAAATGGTGATAATTCATAAAATCACCATGAGTCCTAAGTATATTATTGAGTGTTAAGCCTATTACTTAATTTTGATTAGGCTAAAATGTCAAATTAAGTTTTGATTTTTATATCTGGCTGAGTTACATTCAAAATGAATTAATTTACATTAAGATAAAATATAATCTTACTATATTTTCAGGGATTTTTTATACATTAACAAGTTACAAGTAAAAATATTGAACATTCAAGTCATTTCTATAAAACTCCAGGAAGAGTTTATTTTTATGAAGGTTATGAAGATAAAACTTAATATCTAAGCCTAAGAGCATGGAAGGAATATGGCATGAGGAGGAGTGCTTTATCTGTGCTCTGTGGCCAAATGACCAAACAGAGGCTCTACAGACACACTATGAATGGAGAAGAGTCTTTAAGAGCATCCAAAGCGAAATCCCCTAAACAGTGTCCCATCACATTCTTACTGGTGCAGGAATTATTACATGTCAGGGACTTGCTCACCTAGAGGAAACCAAAAGCATCTTTAGGAAGCCCTGCTTGTAGAAATTCTTCCTTACATCAATAAAGGCACTTCTCCTAGAATGTTCCTCCCTGTTATGAATTCTGATTTAATTTGAAAGTCCATATGGAGTAGATGAAATGTCCCTTTCAGTTGAGAGCACTTGGTTTACTCACATCCCCCTACAGTCTTTTCTTCTGTAGATTCAGTGTCACAGTTTGGTCAAGGCAGCCTCACCTGACGCTCTTTCACTTCCCTTTATAACTCGATACTGTTCTCAACTCTGCACACCTTTCAGTCTGTGAGTGTCTCCCTTAAATGTTCATGCTAAACAAAATGTCCCAGATGCGATGCAATCAAACAAAAAGAAAGCAGACTCGTCACTTCACACCCTCCATACAGTGGCCGTATGGCCGAGGTGAAACACTTCTCATACCAGTGCAACAAGCGGATTTACATGTATCAGCTATTGTCCAGTATGGTTTTAAAACTAAAGGAAAAATCAACACTGCTTATTTTTCCTTAACCTCCTAAATATAGGAAAATGTTGGCAATGCCTGCTGCTGGTCAGGAGTGAATTTTCAAATAATAATGTATTTTGTCTCTAAATTATCTTCATCTATTGGTGCTCTTCAGGTCACTCTCTCTTAATACAAAAAGATCAAAAACAACTCTAAACCTTACCAAGTGTGCGATACACACACCTTCTGCAAAGAATGCAGCTGTACTGATACACAGCCTCGCCCCTTTCTTGATCATCTCCTTAATATTTCAAGCACATCTGGATTAGCATCTTGAAAAGTGACACATATCAGACATCCAATTTTTTTTTCTGTAAAACATCCAAAAATCAATTTCATAATCAAGCTATTCAGGGAAAATTATATTTGTTTTAATATTCTGGCACCATTCCCTAAAGACATTTGAATACCAGAAAATAAGATTTCTCTGATGATGTTACGGTTGATACATTATGTCAACTTGAGAAATTTAGAAGTTTAACTCAGCAGGGAGCCCGTGTTCTTACTTTGTAAATATCCTCATCATGTGCAAGAGGAGGGCAAGGTGTTTTTGTGAGTGCTACATACACCCTGTAGGGGGAAGAGAGTGGCCTGCATACAGTATAAGGGAGGAAAAGAGACTTGCTCTCCCTCCCCTTAGCCCTGGATGTCCTTTATGCTCTGGCTGCTGCCTTGAAGTGTTGCCCCAGTGCCAGCCACCTGGCATTAGAGCCAGCTAATTATGGACTGAAACTTCCACAACAGTGAGCTAAATAAACCTTTCCTTCCTTCATTTATGGATGTTGGGTATTTTGTCCCAGCAACAAGAGAAAAAAGTAACCAAGACATATGACAACAATTGAAATTGAAAAGAATGACATGGATAGGCATTTTTAAAGTATTATATTGGAGACTTAGAAGTAGAACAAGATGGCCACTGCACAAGACCCTCCAGTGAAAGGTGTCTATTGACCTTTTAGAGACAGACCCTCTGTAGAGTGTCTCTTACTGTCAGACACCAACTACCACCCACTTCGATCTGAAGAAGCCATATCAGTCATAATCTATTACTCCCTCTAGGCAGTTTGAGTTACTTCTTCAGAGCAGGGAATGTTATAGGCAGCTGAGTTAATTAGAAATATTATAGGCAGTCAGACAGGTCGATGACCTTGAAGAAACCACTACAGAAGACCAGATATCTTTCAATCCTTGGGGAGGTAGACACCTCTGCTGCAGGGTAGATTTCAAGACAAAAGACAAAACAAAGGCTGCCACACACTAAGCATAAACCTCAGGGGTTGATATTCTAAATAGGTAGCACCTTAATACCTTGATCACCTTGAGGAAACCAGAAGAAGCCAATAAGTCCCCTACAAGTCCACATTTCCCTATTGAATCCCAATTTTATCAATTTTATCAGCAAAATTACACTCATAATCTTATTGGTTGACCATAGTTCTGTCTCAGGTCATGCCCACCTACCTTGTGAATTCCTATTTTTCTCCACTATGGGCCTACCTCATCTCATGGTTTTGCTCTATAAAAATCCCTAGAAAGACATGCTCCTCAGCAACCCACTTGGCACCATTTTCATCTCCCTATTAGCCAGACGCTTTCCTTCTCTCAACAAATTCTGCTTTTTAAAATACAAAGCTTAAACAAAAACTATGTAAAATATCAGAGTGCCTGATTTTCCTATAATTAAAAAAAAAAAAAAAACGAGAAGCCAGCCCAGCCCCTGTATGCACACCTGCTTCCATCAGGATTCTCCCATGGGTAGCCATTGAAAGCCAGGAAAAGTAGCAGCCAGACTCATTTCTACAGGCCTGCAACCACCATCACTTTCGGGGCTGTATAGTCACTATGTGGGCCAGCAGAACCAGCCAGCTGCAACTGCATCCCACCACCTCCCCAGGGTACCTGGCTTAGGATAGATCAAGGTACCTGTCCTATTCCCCTGCA